TATCTATCTATCATCTATCTATCTATCTATCTATCTATCTATCTATCTATCTATCTATCTATCATCTATCTATCTATCTATCTATCTATCTCTATCTATCTATCTATCTATCATCTATCTATCTATCTATCTATCTATCTATCTTTATCTACCTACCTACCTAACTACTCCCTCTCTCTCTCCCTCCCTATTTCTCTGTCTTTCTCTCCCCCTCATCCCTCTATCTACCTACCTACTTTTTTAAAAAAAAGTCTCTTCAAAACCTGGGTGCATCTTATACTCCGGTGCGTCTTATACTCCAAAAAATATGGTACAATATGTGGCACTGATCAACAATTGGTTTGGGAAACAATAGATTCTACTGAAAAAGCTTTTGCTAAACAGTGTAATGATAAAAAGAAAACAAACAGAAAGAGGGTTCAAGGAAGGTGAGTTCTAAAACATTCACAGTCCTAATTTCAAAGTGAATGGTCTACTTACCGCCTCCACCTCTGCTGGGTCATACCAGACATTGATGTACGGGTGTTGTAAGGCTTCATCCACTGATATCCGTTTGGCTGGGTCAATCACTAGCATCTTTGATAAAAGGTCCCTAGCTTGGCTAGCTGGAGCAACAAAAACAGAAAATGCATCAGTATGGGAAAGAATGGATGGAGGTATGACTTACAATGCCATATTCAGTGGCTTCAATACATGTTCAATACACATCTGCTAAAGAACAAGAAAATTAATAGATGGTTCCATTAGATTTTTTGGAAGCCAGAACTAGAAATTTTAACTTGAAGCTGTTTAGAAAATTAATGTTTGTTTAGTTCATTTCTTTTCTTCTACATCAGTTTGGAACTTTTATTTTTCAATAGTTGTATACAATAAACATGTATTTATATACATTTTCCTTAATGCACTTGGCATACTCTTTTAACTAAAATATGCAGGTTTATTTTTGAGTGTGAGGGTGTGTGTGTGTGTGTGCGTGTGCCTATTTATCTGATTTATATACCTGTATATCTCACACAGCAAGTGACTCTGGGTACATATAAGAAAGCTAGAACGATAGATATCTAAAATCATTACTTATTATTTATATAAAATTACACACACACATGTGCACACACATTCAGGAAAACTATCGTATTTCTTCCCAAATTTCCTTGATGGGTCCACTAGTTCAGATTTTAAAATAGTTCAGATGTGCTGAGAAAGAACTAACAGATCTAGGTAAGTTGGTTTAACCATTTAAGAGCTTAGGTAGGTAGGTGATAGGTAGGTAGGTAGGTAGGTAGGTAGGTAGGTAGGTGATAGATAGATAGATAGATAGATAGGTAGATAGATAGATAGATAGATAGATAGATAGAAAGAAAAATATGGATGGATGATAGATTAGATAGGCAGAAGACAGACAGATATAAGAGATTAGAGAGATAGAGTAGACAGAGTAGATAGAATAGATTAGATAGATAGATAGATAGATAGATAGATAGATAGATAGATAGATAGATAGATAGATAGATAGATAGATAGATAGGTGGATGGATGATAGATTAGATAGGCAGAAGACAAACAGATACAAGAGATTAGAGAGATAGAGAGAGTAGATAGAGAGAGAGAGAGAGAGAGAGAGAGAGAGAGAGAATGGATGATAGATTAGATAGATAATCTATCTATCTAGAAGACAGACAGATACAAGAGATTGGAGGTAGGTAGGTAGGTAGGTAGGTAGGTAGGTAGGTAGGTAGGTAGGTAGGNCTGTGCCGAATTGATCACTCTGTAGTTTATTTATTCATTTTGTCATGTTTATGTAATGATATTGGAGGTCGCGAACCTTTTGAGAGCTGAATGCAATGAAATTTCACTTTAAGGTATCCCAATTAGTGTACAGCAAAGTGACAATAAAGTTATTCTAAGTCTAAGGTCCCTAGCTCTTCATTTTTTAAACTACTAAATCTATTTGAGTCTTGTGATGCTTCCTTTGTTTCTCATCATAAAAGTGGCATAACGTAATGCCACCATTTATTGGTAATTATATAATGATGCAGTCTTGGGGTGAACTCTTAAGGGCTACAACAAATAAGTCCATAGTCTAGAAAATAGGTTGACAATTTCTGCCATTGGGGATCCTACTTCTTGATGTGACAGCTGTTCTAGACCAGGGGTCATCAACTTTAAACACTCAAAGAGCCACATGGGGCTTCCATCCTAAATGGAAGCCCCACGTTCAATTCTGGAGCTGGCTGGAACTCTGGTTCCCCCACCATAGAGTCTCCTCCTAGTGCAGCTCCCAATTTCCTCTGCTGACCGGATGTCTGCTTCCCCCAACATAGTGTCTCCTCCTAGCATGGCATCCTTTTCCCTCTACCTGTCCTAACAGAAATCCCTATCAATTGTGAAACTGACCAGCAACAGGGAGAGGTAGCAGAGGAATGAAAGAGCCACATGTGGCTCCAGAGCCACAGGTTGCTGACCCCTGTTCTAGACCAATTGAAAACTGAAAACTGAAAATGATGTATTCGATGTATAAGATGCACCCAGATTTTCAGCCTCTTTTCTGAGGAAAAAGGTGTGTCTTATACTCCAAAAATATGGTACATTGATCAAGTGCTGTGCCAGCAAAAACAAAGTTTTAGATGCTACAGGTTGTCAGCTATTTCCTTCTCCAGCACATGGATAAATACACCTGGAAACATCTACCTACCTATCTACTCTCTCTCTCTCCCTACCTACTGTATTTCTCTCTCACTCCACCTCTATCTACCTATATACCTACCTACCTACCCTCTCTCTCTCTCCCCCCACCTATCTACTGTATTTCTATCTTTCTATTTCTCTCTCTCTATCCCTCTACCTACCAACCTACCTTCTCTCCCTACTTATCTACTGTATCTATCTATCTATCTATCTATCTATCTATCTATCTATCTATCTATCTATCTATATCTATCTATCTCTATCTATCTATCTATCTA